GGGGCACAGCTTCCCATAGGCTTGCAGAGTTCAGAGACTCCACATCCAGCACGTACAGCTCAGGACAGTTCCTGAGAGGGAGGCCCCAGTCCCTGTGTGATCAGACAGTTGTGTTTTAGTGCTTGATGAGGGGCTTTAGGAAGGGCTTGTATTTATTGTTATTTATTTATACCCTGCTGGATTCCAAGGGAATTAAGGTGGCATACAACACAGCTGGCGTATTCTGAAACAGGGCTGGGTGTTCCTTTCATTTTAAAACAGTAGTGATTACTAACTTCCATTTGACTTTGCTTGGTTGAATTATGAAGAAGAGCTTGGATGATTTTCATGGTAATGTGTGGGCCCTCCCTGATTCAGAAGCTTGTGTTCATTGACTCCTGAAGGTCTCTCACTTACTTGATTCATTGACAGCTGAGAGCAGAAAGGCTTCGCGGTAGGTTCAGAAATGATCTGAACCTGGATAAACTCTTGGGGCCACAATTACCTAAAGCAGGTATTGGTGATGTGGAGAGTAGGAAGGTAGTTGCTCTCTGGGGCAGGGCAGCTGCTCCAGGATCAGGAGAGTTGTGGAGTGAGGTAGTATAGAACGTGGGGAGCTGGAGGAGATGTTTGTTGGGGAAGGCTGAAGTTGGAAAAGCCAAAGAACCATATCCACTCTGGATTCCTGTCTCCCTCTCCTGGGCTGGTGTTGAAGAGATGGCCTCAGCCTTAGCTGGGAGAAGGCTGGATTCTTGAACTTCCTTTCCTCTTCTGCATCTCTGACTTTGCCTGAGCCTTAGGCATAACCCGGGAAAGGATGGCAGAAGGGAAGTGGGATGGCATCTTTGGCTCTTGGGCTGGAAACTTTTTGCTGTTGCTCCTGTGGGTGCTTGCTGGGAACAGTAAGATAGTATATTGGGGCAGGATTCTGAAGAGATTCCTCTCTCATACCACTCTGTCTCTAGCAACAGCAATCTTCCACCACAGTGGAAGCCCCTGATCAAATATGCGTACCCACAAAAGGGAGCAGGTGTAAGTTCCATCTCCTGGTTAAAGAGTGATGCTTGGCAGATTTTTTGTCGTTTTATTAAAGGACACTGCTCAGCCAGCTTCTGGTACAGATCACGCCTTATATCTATCTCTGTCTACACTCTGCTCAGCTGTTCAGAGGGTTCACAGTGCAGCTCTGCTGTGCGTGCTGAGTCCCATTTCTAATGAAAGTAGACTTTGTTCTCTGAAGGCAGCTAATCGTGCCCCATGGGCTGTAATCAGGGAGAAGGTATTTAATACAGGGCAGGCGGCAACAGGCGGCCTGCACCGACTGGCAAATTGCAACATGGCAATTAGAAAGCTATCACCCCTCTCTCCACCCCAGCAGATAGGAAGTAGAGTCCATCCTTTGAATTGATTTTTGAGTAAGCGAAGAATGAATGTTATGCATAGCATGGCAGAAGCTGGGGTTGGATGGGGTAGGATGAGGCAGGGGCAGGGAGGGTTGAGGAGAGCCCCTTTTCCTTCTCACTTCACCTTCATGGGATGGGAAAGGGTTGCTGCTACTTTGGGTGTCTCCCTCAACACTGCCTGCAGGTTCAGCCCGAGGAGCCCCAGGCCATGCTGGGTCAGCGAGAGGTTTTAACCTAGGCCTCAACCTTTCTCCCAGGGCATAGCTGTTCTTACAGAACAGACCCAGTACGTTACGTTATCTGGTAGTCCCACATCCTGAGTTGTCTGCCCTTAGTTCCTTAAGGCTTAGGTTTAGTTTGGCATGGGGGTGGGAGTGAGATTCTTCCTCGTTAATTTCCTTTTTTTTTTTTTTTTTTTTTGAGACGGAGTCTCTGTTGCCCAGGCTGGAGTGCAGTGGTGCGATCTGGGCTCACTGCAATCTCCACCTCCTGGGTTCAATTTTTGTAGAGACAGGGTTTCACCATGTTGGCCAGGCAGGTCTCGAAATCCTGATGACCTCAAGTGATCCGCCTGCCTTGACCTCCTAAAGTGCTGGGATTACGGGCGTGAGCTACCATGTGCGGCCAGCCCTGTTGATTTCCTGATCTTCCTCCAGAAGACCATTTTCTGGGAGGTGCCCTGGAGCCAGCTCAGCCTCCAGAGGCCAGGAGGCCCCAGAGGCTGTCCTTGGCTGCCGCTCGCTTATCGTGGGCCATGGCCCATTCTGAGTTGTCCAGCTGCTCTCCTTTGGGACTTTTTCTTCCCCACATGGGACTGGGAGTCCTCCTTGGGCTGAAACACTCCAAGGCAACTTGGGAAACCTTTGGGTGAAGGAGATGTGGCCAGGGGAGGCTGCACCTGGTAGCTGAGTCTTCCTGGAGGGACCACTCTGATGCCATCTGCCTCACCCCTTTACCTTCTCCCAGCTTGCAGACCGAGTGTCCCAATACTTCTGTCTTTGTTGTCCACTGCACCTTGCATTGCTGTCCTCCTTGGGTCTGTCCAGCCTTCCCTGCACACCTTCCTTGCCTCCAGTCAAGGACTGTGGGCTGCCAGGCCTATTGTATTCCTGTTCATTGCTGGAACTGTGGGCTCCTCATGGGCTGGATCTGGGGCACTCAGCAGATTTCAGAAGTTGGAGCTAGGGCCTGGGTGTTGGGCACACCCTGTGTTTATGGACACAGGGCAGGAAGTGGTTGGTACACATCTCCCTCGCAGCCTGGTGTTGAGGAACACCATGAGCCCCCTGGTGGATTATCTTCCCAGTGGACATTGCCTTCTGCTTCCTTAGTTGGGAGTGGTTTCCCATCCCTGTAACTCTGACGTATGTGGAAAGAGTAGGCTGTGGCGGAGAGAATAACCTCCCGTCACCACCACCCCCATCCCCAGAGTGTGTCTGCATTTACTGCCCATCCCACAGCCAGCCACCTTCTCAGAGTAGTCCTCGCCTAGCAAGCCAGATTGCCTCTGGCCATGGAATCCCTGGGGATAAATACATACTGTAGGGTCAGGGAGTGGGGCTTGAGGTCAGGGTGAGGCAGAAGGAGCTAGAGGATGTGTGGCAACTAGAGCCCGGGCTGCAGGGCATGGAGTGAAGCAACCCTCCCTACAGGATTGCCGGACACCTGAGCATGTTCGTGTCCTCCCTGCCTGCCTGCTGTTCATGCAGGTGTCTCGGTACCAAGAGGACAGCATGAGCCTTGCCAGGAATAGGGACAAGGAAGTACAGAGGCGGTTGGGAATAGAGGAGAGGCACACAAAGGGGCCTGCAGAGAGAAAGGGCTTCCTCAGATGACTGGGGAGCACGTGGGGGAAGGGAGCTGGGACCTGGACCCTCTGTAGAGAAGGGGAAAGGCAGAGACCAACTCTCTGAGCTGCACCTTGGTTTTGTAGAAGCTCTTGACTGCTGTCATCTCTCACTCTTCCATCTCTGGCCCTACCCTGTTTTCCAGCTCATGTACCCCACACATTTAACCCTCTGAGTATCAGAACCCACATACCCAGGTGGGTTTGGGACTTTCTAGGCCTCTCCCTCAGGCCATAGGAGCATCCACCCTGGGCCCCTCTGGAGGGGCAGCCCCAAGGAGCCTGTTGGGGTGACTTGTTTGCTCCCCACACCCTGGGAATGTGCCGTCCTTTCAGGCCCGCCCACCCAGATTCCTGTGCAGGGAGTCAGCCGACACAGCATGCTGCATGTGCCCTGTGGGGACACGTTCTGCCTCCTGTCAGGGGGAGGAGGCTGGCGGCCCGTGCCCGTGCTGCCGCACCCCAGCTCCCCGCAGAACCGCAAGCCAAGGCCCAGGCTGTCCAGACAGAGGAGGTAGACCACTCCTGCTTCCCCACCCTCCCTACCCCCCTCACCATTCTTCCTGCCCCAGGCCCTGTTGGAATGTGACAGGAGTCATGGCCAGGGCATGTCCCGACAGTGGGAACACACGCTAAAGCCCGCAAGGCTTCCCTCAGCCTCCAGCTCTGTTTAGGTTGATGGGGGCGGGAGGAGATTGTTTTTTCTGCCCAGAAGGCCACCTGAGGTTACTGCCTGATCACTGGTGGCTGCTGCCCCCATGCTGCAACCCAGCTAATTACAGGTGGGGGCCAGGGAGGGGTGTGGGCCCATCTTTGAACCTCAGGAGGTGGGAGGGGCTCTCATAGGACACTCAGTCCGGCCACCTCTGTGTAGATAAGGAACTGGGTTATCCAGTGAGGAAGGGCGTTACACAGGGCCCTGTGGTGTCAGTGCTGAGCCTGGAGCCCAGGTGTCTCCAACTCCCCAGACTGGAGTTTTCTTCGTATTTCTCAGCCTTGGCACTCTGGGTATTTTCTGTTGGGAATTATTTGTGGTGGGAGTTGTCCTATGGTTGTGGGATGACCAAAGCATCCCTAGCTTCTACCCACTAGATGCCAGTAGCACTCCTTCCCTCCAGGTTTTGACAATCAGAAATGTCTCCTGACACTTGCCAGACGTCCCTGGGGAAGGAGGGTTGGTAGAATTGCCTGGTTGAGAGCTACTGCTCTGTGTTGCTCCCTTTTCAGATTTCTTCTCCTAGCCCTACGCCACCTCATTGCAAAGGCCCGTGACCATCATCATTATACACCAGATAGCCTTGGGCCTCCTTCTGGAAATGCTAGGTGCTCTCTTTCCATCATTTTCTCTATCTTCTTGGATCTTTGTGAGGCTTTTTTCCTGGTGTTCTCATTTGTAACTCATGTTCCCCAAATCTCTTAGTTGTTTCCAAACTCTGAGAGGCCTGGGAGATGAGGAGGACAGATGTGGAGTAGGGATAGGACGGAACCGGACCTATTCAAGAATTGGGCAATGTGCTGAGACCATAAACACACACAGACACACGTATCTCATCTGGGACTGTGACGTTACTGTCACAGAGAAAGGCAGGAACCCAGTGCTTCCAGTCATCTGCCTCCAGCTGCTTTCCCCTCAGGCCCCCTATTTCATGGCCTTCCTGCCATGGTTCTCCCTGGGGGGCCTTCCAGGTCCCAGACCGGGCAGGCAGGCCTGTAGCACTGACAGACAGGCGGCTGACACCTGGTTTCCACTTTCTTCCCTTCTCTGGTTTCAGGAGCTGTTGGCTAAAGGAAGTGGAGGGGCCGTGGGATGCGGAGAGCCGAGGGCTAACTCTCGGACAGCGGAACGGAGAGAGCTGCCGACAAACAGACGGTATGTCCCTGATGAGGCCTGTGCCCTCAGCCTGGCTGTCTTCTGGGGAGGGGCAGGTGAGGGGGCAGCCAAGTGTTCTCTCTCGGTGGGGGCTGGTGAAAAGAGTGGTAGAGGCCACAGGGGTTTGGCCATCAGTGGCCGAGGCCAGAGAGCTCTCTCGGGCTTTGAGATTCCCACTGAGGATCCTGGATTGGATACCCAAACTCATATTTTTTGGTTATTATTTTTTTTAAAACTAACATTTATTCAACATTTCCTAAGTGCTTTACATCATTTTCACAACAGCCCTATGAAGTTGGTGCTATTCTTAGCTGGGCACAGTAGCTCACACCTATAATCCCAGCACTTTGGAAGGCCAAGACAGAAGGATTGCTTGAGCTTGGGAGTTTGAGCCTGGGCAATAAAGTGAAACCCCGTGTACAAGAAATAGCCAGGTGCAGTGGCACATGCTTGTGGTCCGAGTTACACAGAAGGCTGAGGCAGGAGGATTACTTGAGCCTGGGAGGTTGAGGCTGCTGTGAGCCAAGAGTGCGCCACTGCACTCCAGCCTGGGCAACAGAGCAAGACCCTGTCTCAAAAAAGAAAAGAAAAAAAGAAATTGGTGCTGTTTTACCACTAATTTAGAGTTGAGAAAACTAATGCATAGAGAGTTTTATCTTCTGAGGCCTTCAAAGGAGAGTGGAAAGGAGGGTGGTGGGCTGCTTTGAAGGCTCCCTGCCCCACTCTTAAAACCTAGGTGTCCAGGCCCTAGGCCCTGCTTTTCCCACCCACCTGTTCCCCATTGGACCTATGCCCCACCCTCTGGCACTCCTTTGACCTATGGGGACTGACACACCTAAGGTGTGCCCTTCTAGTGACTCCAGTAATGGCCCAGGCCTATCAGCCTATGTGGTGGCCTCAACATATGTCTCCTTTCACCATCTTTGTTTTTTCTCAGTCCAGAGTCCTTCTGGCCACATCTCTGAGCCTCCCTCCTCCTCCTCCTCAGCAGGTGGAGGAGCCGTCACCTCCCAGAATGACCAGTGCCGCCCCCGCCCCTGCTAAGAAACCCTACCGTAAGGCACCGCCAGAGCATCGGGAGCTGCGATTGGAAATTCCTGGATCCCGGCTTGAGCAGGAGGTCAGCAAGACTGGTACCCCAGCCTGACCGGCAGAGGCAAGGCCCCTGAGGCTGGGTGTCTGGCTGACTTCTCCTGCCTGAGCTTCTGGTCCTGAGTTGGGGTGAGAGTGGGCCTTGCTGTTGGAGGCCTGAGGTCTCCTAGCCGCAGCAGTGCAGGTGGGGGCAATGTAGGCTCAAGGGGGACTGTCAGTGAGTATACATCCAAATGTCAGGGAACCCCTGAGTCTTTGTAGCTTAGCATAAATGATCCCATATGATATTCTCCCTGCAAGAGGCAGCCCAGTAGACTGAGGGGTACCTAACCTGCTGGTGGATGGGACTCTAGTCCTCCATAGTGGAATAGAGCCATTCAACCTGTGGCCCCTTTGGGGCATATCAGGAGGCAGTGCTACAGCCACTTCCCACCAGCACAGCTGCTCTTCATTGTCCCCAGGAAGTCCGGCCCTTCCTCCAGCTTTGCTTTGTTTGGCTAACATTTGTTGAATACGTACTCCCTGCCAGGAACTGTTAGGTCTGGACTCTGCTCTTCAGGGGCCTATAGTCAGCTGCAAAACATGGGCTCTCCTCCCCCATTAACCTCACTCATAAGCGGAAACGAAGGCCACAGTGGTTTACTGCCCTTGCAGCCATGTCTCCACCTGGTCGCAGTGCATGGAGCACATTTAAAGAACTTGAGACGCAGCACATGCTGAGCATCAGGCATACTGTAACCTGTTTTGGTCAGATTCAAGGTAGAAAAGCCATGACTTGCTCATTTCAGTTCAGGGAACATTAAATTAAGATGCCAGCTATTATGCTAGGTGCTACCCAGTGAGCATTACGTCAGTTTTATAAGTGAGGGAACTAAGGCTCGGTGAGGTGAAGGCTGTATAATCAGTAGGCGGTAGAATAGGGTCAAATCCTGTTGTCAGAGTCAATGGACAAAGGAGGCCACCTACCTCCATTTTCTGCCTGAGACTGCACTTCTGAAGCAGTCAGCTCTATGTAGAATAGGCCCCTTGACGTTTCCCTCTTGCAATAGCGTGGGCCTGCTCTACTTTCTGGTTGGCTGAACTTGACTTTTGAGCCATGACTGCCATAGAGGTTTGGGGAAGATGGGGCAGGAGGTTAAGAGCCAAACAAGACACTTCTTCCCCTTAGTCAGGATTAGCCCTCTTCTCCCATGCACTTGTTCCTCCTGAGCCTCTGCAAGGGCCTGATTCTGCCTTTGTCTTCGTCCCAAGGCTGAGGGCTTTGTCAGAGCTCAGAACTCTTGTGTATAGTTCAGCCTGACTTTTCTGGAAGGTCTCTGCCATACGTGTGTGGAGACAGGGCCCACCAAGAGCTGAGTGAACAGCTGAGAGGCTGTCTCTGCCCCTGGGGAGAGGTAGCTTGGCTGCCAGGACTTACTTGAAAATGGCTTTAGGATTAAGGTTGAAGGTTGGAAGAGGTTCTTGAATCTTCTGGTTGGCATGGGAGCAGGTAATCGAGGCTTGTCCCAGCATTACTGAATTGCTTCCGTCTGTTGAGAGCCCTATAGCCCTCTTCTGCTGTGAGAGTCTCTAGGCTTCACACCTGAGCCTTTTCATGGCTATTTGGAGGGTGAGCCAACCAGGGGGCCAGTGGTCCAGAGCTGAGCCTCAAGCTTCTCTTTTTTGCCTAGGAACCCCTGACTGACGCAGAAAGGATGAAGTGAGTATCTGCTGCCTGAGATGCTGCCTGAGATACTGCCCTGCCTCAACTCTGTCCCTCTTAGCTGCAGGCTAGGCTATTGGTACAGTTGGACTTTCCCGTGGATTAGGTGGAAGTAAAGGTTGGGATGGGTTGTTTTAGGGACTCTGGGAGGAGTTTTGATGTTGTGGATTTTTTTTCTGGCAAATGGGATTTTATTGTTCCATGGGCTTCGAGAGAGCATAGAATCAGGAGGTGAATGGCAACGAGGGCCCTGCTGTTCTTGCTAAGGAGCCCTTCCCCAGCTCCTGGTTCCTGTACCAGCTGCCACCCTTGCAGCCCTTTCTTAGCCACATGAGGCCTCCGGAGAGGAGGGCAGTGCTGGGCTGGATTTCCAAGAGATGAATAATGGAGAAGCCTGATTGTGCAGAGGGGAAACTGGAGCTGGGGGCTTAGTGGCCGACTGACATGGGCTGTAACCAGAGACAGGCTGGGAGCCGTATCCCTACCCCCAATTCTGTCTTTTCATTCTCCAATAGTGAAGGGAAGCTGGATTGTCCCCTACCATCCCCTCTTCCTCCCCTGACCCTCCAACCCACGCTGTGTTCCCAGGGCCAGCAGGCCTATGAAATATGCTGCCTTAGACTCAAGCTCTGGTTGCCTGTCTTCATGTCATCCCTTCCTTCCTGAGCCCACTCTGGAGCTCCAGGCCATGCCCTTCGATCTCTCATACCCCTCTGCCCTTGATCCCACAACACCCTGCCAGGCTCTTGCAGCAGGAGAATGAAGAGCTTCGCCGGCGCCTGGCCTCCGCCACCAGACGCACTGAGGCCCTGGAACGTGAGCTGGAAATCGGGCAGGACTGCCTGGAGCTGGAGCTGGGCCAGAGCCGCGAGGAGCTGGACAAATTTAAGGATAAGTTCCGCAGGTGTGGGAATGAGGGGACACACACACACACACACACACACACACACACACACAGTCTCTCCCTTCTTCGGAGGTTAGCTGGAAGATGCCTCAGAGATCATCTGATTCCGATTAGAAAACTGAAGTTCTTGAGGGAGAATGACATGTTCAAGATCCCGGGAGGCTGAACAGGGCCTGAAGAATGGGATCTTGACCCAGGGATGTGCCTTGTATTATCCCTTTTCAGGCTGCAGAACAGCTACACAGCTTCCCAGCGGACCAACCAGGAGTTGGAGGACAAGCTGCACACACTGGTAAAGGGCAACTTGGCGGGCACTGTGCTCACAGCATAGCAGGGGGCCAGGATTTGCCAGGGGAATGCCACTCGGGCCTGGGGGAGATGGTGGGATGGGGCAGTGGTGGGGGTACCGCAGTGTGCTCTGCAAGTCAGGACTGTCTTAATGCTCACACTGTTTCTCTTCTTTCCTCGTCTCCCCCTCATGCTGCCACCGTTGCTGCTGCACTCTCCTCTCAGGCCTCTCTTAGCCACAGCTGGATTTTTGCAGTTGCGTCTGAGTTTGTGTGTCTTCTCCCTTGCCCTGGCCTTCTCAGCTGAGATCTGGAATTGCGGGCCCTGGCTATTACCCTGTACCCCTTGAGTATACCCGCTCCTTTCTCTTCCCTGTGTGAGGCCCATTTAACAGTCAATGCCTCCCTCGCAGGAGAGAGCTGGGGAGCCTAGCCTGCTCTGCCCTTGGCTCTGGTAGAGGTACTGATTGATGTCTCCACTGAACACCCAAAGCTTCTTGGCTGCAGTGGCAGCAAGCCCAGGCTGTGGGTGGGGAGGGGAGGCTGCAGATCCAGTCCCTGAACTGAAGATCAGAAGGCTACTTTTGAGCCTGCAGCTTGTTCCCTGCTCAGCGAGGCACCCTGGCTGCCACCAAGCCCTGCTTCCTCTTCCCTCTCCTAGCCTGATGCTGGAAACAGCTGCACACATAGGAGGCTTCAGCCCCCTGGTTTGCAGTTTCTGCCTTTGAGGTACCAGCTGCCTTGCCTGGTGCCCAGAGCCCCTGGAATCTCAGGGGATGGACAGCTCTTACACTGTCTGTGTCCTGGGCCCAGGTGGCAGGAGGTCATGCTAAGAAAGCCCCCACCCCACAGCCAGTCCAGGGAGTGGGAGAGATGCCCAGTCTCCTTCTGTCTGTCCGTCATTTGTCTCTGCTCTGTCCGCCTTGGCTGCCCTAGCACCTGTGGCCTCTTGTGTCTCCAGGATGGGAGGAGGTGGAGGGAGAAGAAGGGCTGGCTAGGGTGTGGGCTGGGTTAACCTCAAGTCTGTGCCTCAGATCAAGAAGGCTGAGATGGATAGGAAGACGCTGGACTGGGAGATTGTGGAGCTGACCAACAAGCTGCTGGATGCCAAGAACACCATTAACAAGCTGGAAGAGCTCAACGTATGTGCATTTCACTGCTCGGGCCTTCCTCACCTGGGGCTAGCTTTGTTCTGGCCTGGCCCTGCTCCCTTGGAGAGGGCTGGGCTGGGCTCTGAACCAGGTCTGTCTGTAGGAGCGGTACCGACTGGACTGCAACCTGGCTGTGCAGCTCCTCAAGTGCAACAAGTCCCACTTCCGAAACCACAAGTTTGCTGATGTGAGTAGAACTCACCCCCTCCCCGCCCACATAGATCATTCTGGCCACTGTAGGACTCTTAACTCCAGTTTCTACACCTCTCTCTGTCTTCGTTTTTAAGTCCCCTTTCCACTTTGCCCTCCTGCCTCCATGTCACCTATCAAGCCAGTCAACTCTGCCACTGGTTGGTGTCCCATGTACTGTCTAGGGCCCATCACTAGTTTTGGGGGGGCAGCCCTGTTGGTTTCTATAACAGAGACAGAGAGGATCCCAGACAGGAAGAAGAGGGTAGTCAGAGCTATCTGCCCAAAGAGTACTGAGAGAGGATTAGGCCCATCTGATCATGTTACCCCAACGGGTAAACTCTAGACCCCAGAGCTTCAGGCCCAAGGTTGATGTGGCCTGCAGAAGTAGAGATATTTCTTCTTTCTTTTTTCTTTTTTTTCTTTGTTTGAGACGAAGTCTTGCTCTGTTGCCCAGACTGGAGTGCAGTGGCGCGATCTCGGCTCACTGCAAGCTCCGCCTCCTGGCTTCAAGCAATTCTCCTGCTTCAGCCTCCCAAGTAGCTGGAATTACAGGTGCCCACCACCACGGCTGGTTAATTTTTTTTGTATTTTTAGTAGAGACGGGGTTTCACTGTATTAGCCAGGATGGTCTCCATCTCCTTCCTGACCTCATGATCCACCTGCCTTGGCCTCCCAAAGTGCTGGGATTACAGGCGTGAGCCACCGCGCCCGGCCCAGAAGAGGTATTTCTAAGGCCACTGGTCTATACAGATTCTCCAAACTTAAGTATGGTTTGGGCAGAAGCTGGGAGATAGAAGTTTGAGAACATGCTGGCCTCAGCAGCAGATCTGGGTTTAAATCCTGGCCAAGTTAATCAAAAGCTTCGAGTTGTCTTCCCCTCTCCGGGCCTGTGTGTCCGTGAAGTGAGGGTATACACACTGGAATGCTCTAAGAACAGGAGATAGTGGAGTGCTGAGCACACAGAGGTACTTAAATGTGGGAGCCATTACTTTCGCCATGAGTCAAGTTGTCTTTAGCTGCGATCATTAATGTCTCTCTTTCCTGCTCTTTTACCTCAGCTGCCCTGTGAGCTACAGGACATGGTTCGGAAACATCTGCACAGTGGTCAAGAGGCTGCCAGCCCAGGTCCTGCTCCCAGCCTAGCCCCAGGGGCTGTGGTGCCTACCTCGGTCATTGCCCGAGTGTTAGAGAAGCCGGAGTCTCTACTGCTCAATTCAGCCCAGTCAGGCAGCGCCGGGCGCCCCTTGGCTGAGGATGTCTTTGTGCATGTGGACATGAGCGAGGGTGTCCCAGGTGATCCAGCCAGTCCCCCGGCCCCTGGCAGCCCCACCCCGCAACCCAATGGGGAGTGCCACTCTCTGGGTACTGCCAGGGGCTCCCCGGAGGAAGAGCTGCCCCTGCCAGCCTTTGAGAAGCTGAGCCCCTACCCAACCCCATCTCCACCACACCCACTGTATCCTGGCCGCAGGGTAATAGAGTTCTCTGAGGATAAGGTTCGGATCCCCCGCAACAGCCCCCTGCCCAACTGCACTTACGCTACCCGCCAGGCCATTTCACTGAGCCTGGTGGAGGAGGGGAGTGAGCGGGCCCGCCCCAGCCCAGTGCCCAGTACCCCTGCCTCAGCCCAGGCCTCACCCCACCACCAGCCCAGCCCAGTGCCCCCAACACTCAGTGCCCCAGCTAGCTCTGCCAGCTCTGAAGAGGACCTGCTGGCCAGCTGGCAGCGGGCATTTGTGGACCGTACTCCGCCACCTGCCACTGTGGCCCAGCGCACAGCCTTTGGACGCGACGCCCTCCCTGAGCTGCAGCGCCATTTTGCCCATAGTCCCGCTGACAGAGATGAGGTGGTCCAGGCACCTTCTCCCCGATCGGAAGAGAGTGAACTTTTGCTACCCATAGAACCTGACTCTGGCTTTCCCAGGGAAGAGGAAGAAGAGCTGAACCTGCCCATCAGCCCTGAGGAAGAGCGCCAGAGCCTGCTGCCCATTAACAGTGGCACAGAGGAGGGGTCAGGCACTTCCCACACTGAGGGCAGGGCCTGGCCACTCCCCAGCTCCAGCCGCCCCCAGCGCAGCCCCAAGAGGATGGGGGTTCACCACCTGCACCGCAAGGACAGCCTCACCCAGGCCCAGGAGCAGGGCAACCTGCTCAACTAGGGCCTCTGGTGGCCTTCCTGCCATTGCTGCACTGGGACTGTAAGGAGGCCCCATACCTTGGCAGCTCAGGGTCCCCAGTCCAAGGCCTTGACCTCTCCCCAATCCATACCTGCACAGCGTTCCCTGTGTGGGTGGGGTCAGGTGGTGGGCCATGCCAGGCCTGTCAGCTGCACTGACTGACCGCGGCAGCTTGCCTCATGGTTTTCCCCTTTTCTTAGAATATTTATTCTCCACAGATAACATGCAGTTGGGTCTCAAGACCTTTTCTCCAATCAGCCCAACCCAGCCCAGACTGGGCTGTTCTGGGGAGCTGAGGAGTTTATCAGTATTCATCTTCCATCCTCCTTTCATAGTCACAAGTTTTGTTATTTTGTTTTTTTTGGGGGGTGGTGGTGTAATCGTTAACTTCATTTCTGTTTCCTACCTGTTTGCTTTCCCCCCCAATCCTCCGCATGAGCTGTTGCCCTCCGGGGGCCCGGCACAGCTGGCCTTGGGGACCAGAGAGAGGACTGACTCAGGGCCCCCTCAGCTGTCTCTTCCCTGTCTCTGGAAAGGAGGGTGGGGCTCAGGGGCCTCAAGCTGCGCTCTGGGTGAGGCCTGGCCTCTACTCCCAACCTTGGCTCTAGACTGTTACTCCAAGCTTTGGGAAATTTTCACATTGATGACTATTTTAAAATCAAATAAAACTATTTTACTGGTATGGCCTAACTTGTCTTAATGACCTTCCCGTTCCCACTCTTCTCCCCATTCGTGAGTATTCCCAGTCCTGGTCTCATCCTAGTTGACTAGTGACTCCCCTTGCCCCACTCTACCTAGGGTTTCCCTGGGCACAGAGCATCAGGGAGTGGAAGCGGGGGGTACCTTAACCTTAGCAGGGTCCCTGAGTCTTCCCTCAGAGGCAGGGACCAGATCTTCATGGGGCTTGTGTAAGGTATTGCCCCAGAAGCCCAGGTCCTAGGCCTAGGCCAGGCCTATTTTGAGAGATTCTGGACAGTTCACGAAGCCACACGCTTGGACTGTGTGATGCTACTGCCCCCTAGTGGTGCTTACTGGTAGTTCCAATTCCTCCCCTACTGCCGGCCCCCAGTGACTACAGCCACACGCCAGGTTGTGGAGTTCATAAAATCTTTTCCGAGCCAGCGGGTTGCAGCCAGAGCTGCCAAGTTCAAAGGCATTGCCTTGGGTTCAAGTGCCCCCCAAGGCTGTTGCTCAGTCACGGCTTCCAGAGCTTCCTTCCCACCACACTGCCAGGAGCTGCCAGAGCCCCCATGCAGCCCCTAGCCCCAGTTCCCTCCCAAGCCCCAGGGCCTGAGCCTGATCTGGGGCAAGGGGCTTGGACAATAGCCAAGTGAAATAGTGTGCAGAGGCCCAGTGGAGAGTCACATCTCGGTCTCAGCCAACAGACTGTCCCCTAGTCCTGACGTCATTAGCACCATCTGAGAGCTGGGATCTGTGGAAGGGCAGAGGGGTGTTCAGACCACCATTCCTTCCTCCACTGGGGACCACAGATAGGTGAAAGCCTAGATTCTCCACACCCACTCTCCCTTGTCCCGAGCCTCTTCCAGACCTAGCTCTGATCAACCCTCTGGGTTCTTACCACTGGGGCACATCCAGGAGCTGCTGCCCCTCTGGTGGGTGGCAGCAGGCTCCCGCCCTCTCTCCCATTCCTGGGTGTCGCCAGCCCCTCCTGCCACTTCCTCCTCCTCCTCTCCCTCAGAGAGGAGGTCACAGATCTGTTGCTGCAGCTCTGGGCTAATGCTGTTTTCAGCCAACACCAGGCTCCGCAAAGCTGTGGGGTAATTTTCTACCATGTCCAGCAGGGTCTGAGGTGGGGAATATGGAAAATGATGAACACAGTTAAGGCAGGTCCTCAGACCCCAACCTGCCACCCCTTAGGTATGTCATCAGATACATAAGCTAACCTCCACCCCATCCCCTGGCCGTTCCCAAACATGACAGCTTCCCACCTGAGCTGACTGGTTGGTGAGCCCTGTGCCCTCCAAGTCTAGGACCTCTAGCGTACGACTGGAGGCCACAGCTACAGCCAGCATTCCTGCCACATGGTCACCTGGGGAGACAACACACGTGCACACATTCACACACATGCCTGCTAATCCTTACAGACAGCTTCCCCATTGCCTTAACAACTTAAGATACTAACCCCTGGCCAGGAAACATGGACAATTGGTGGTGGTCAGGAAGGGATCATTGTGATTGGTGAGTGAAGGCATGAAGAAAGTTAGGCCCACGGGTGGCGACTGATGCTTTGATCTATTTGTTGGTCACCTGGTCCTCCACAAAGCTATCTCCTTGACCCTTGGGGGCTCTCCTTTCTCTCTCCTCTCCCAATGTAGGGGTTACCATGTCAACTGATGGTCCCAGGTTCTTGGATAGGGCATGAGGCAGTGAGTGCCCAAGGGGGTATTCTTGAGCCTCACCCAGGGGGTTGTAATCCAGATTGAGGACGCGGACCTGGGAGCTGTGGGCCACAGCAATGGCGAGGCGGCTCCAGCCCTTAGGGGTGATGCCAGGGTTGGCACTCAGCGTTAGCTCCTTCAAGCCTGGGTAGCATCATAGCAAGAAACCAGAATAAGGAGGGTTAAGCCCTCCCTGAGCCCTTCCCCACCGTCCCTGTGTCTCCAGGGTGTCCCTAGTGGCTAAGCACCACCTCACCCCCACCATAGAGTTCAAGAACCATTAAGGAGGCCCATGCTTCCTCTGCCTGCCCAGCCTGGATCCCTGAGTCTCCATGCTGCCCCCCATCCTGCCCCTTAGAGGAGTAGAAAGACGTTCTCACCCACAACATCAGAGCTCTGGGGCCACACCCCCTTCCCTCTGCATTTCGATTTTCATCACTGCCACACTAGCCCAAGACCTCAACAGGGCCCTGCTCACCAGATTTGGCCCCGTCTGGGGGCAGGAGACCACAGATGAGGTTGATGGCTTCATCACCCAGCATGCAGTCCCCCAGGTCCAGAGCCACGAGGGCAGGGTGGAGGGCCAGGGCTGGGTTCAGCAAGGCCAGCCCCGCATCTGTCAGGGGGCTCCCATGCAGGCTGGTGGGGAGTGAGAGAGCAGGGTTACTGCAGTCCTGAACCCTATCTACATGGGGAAGGGGCACTTTCACTTCTGTCAGCCCTAGATATGGGGAGGGCACTCAGTCACAGTACTAGAGAGGCCTGAAAAAGGAGAAGGAAAGTTCTAGATTCTCAGGGAATACAAGTAGAGGGAGAATTCGGTTTGTTTTCTGGGGCAGGGATCCAGGACATTGTACAGGGAGGAGCAGAGAAGGGGTGGGTGAGTAGTGGACTGGAATACTGCAGTGGGCAGGGCTCTCGTCCCCAGGGGGATATTCTCTCTCGGGAACCCGAGGAACTGCCCCAGTGAAGTAAATGCAGATGATCAGTTGGGGAGGCACGGCCCCCACCCAATGTCAGGGAGTAGTAGGTATCCCAACGCGGGTAGGGTCGCGCGTGCAAAGCCCAAGCGTGTGCTTGGAAAGCCCAAGCGTGTGCACGGTATATGTGCATAAGGCATGTGAGGGTAGAAAGGTACTGGAAGGAGTGTGGAGGAACATGAGATGCCAGGGGAGTGTATGGAGGGGTGCAGTGCCCGGGACCCCCTTGCGAGGGGGCGCACTCACAAGAGGGACTGGATGGAGCGGTTGGTCCGCAGAGCCTCAGCCAGCTGCTTGATGCGGCTGGGGCTGGACACGACGCCCAGGTTAAGGTTGAGCTGCGCCAGGGACGTGGCCCCGGCCAGGGCCCGGCAGATGCGGCCGAAGTCGCGGTCGCAGAGGCGGCAGCCGCGCAGCGAGAGCAGGCGCACGGCGTTGTCGCGCAGGCCGCGGCAGATGTCCCGCACCTCGGCGCCGGACAGCGGCTCCCCCGAAATCTGGATGGAGCTGGGCAGCATCGTGCCCACGGCTGGGCCTCCGGGTACGGGGCCGGAGGGGAGGTTGCCGGGACCGCGGGCAGGGCCGGGGTCGGGGCCCCGGCTGGGGTCGCGGGCGGAGTGGGGCCGGGGGCGGAGGCGGAGGCTGTGGCGGAGGCTGCGGCTGCGGCGGAGGCTGCGGCGGGGGCGGAGAAGAGCTACTGGGACTGAACCGGAGCCGGCCCGAGGTGCGGAGGCGTCCAGGGCGCGGGCCGGGCTGAGGTGGGGCGGCACTGGGGCGGGGGCGGCTAGCACGGTCCGTGTCTGGGCGTTGGGCCGGGAGCGCGTTCCGGGGGCTGGGCAGGCGCTGCTCCGCGCTCGTCCTTGTTCCTCGCGGTCACGGCGGCAGCGAGCGGCTCAAGGGCTTCGGCTTACCGGTCCCAGCTGGGAGGCCGTACCTGCTCCTTCCTTCTCTGCCGCCCGGCTCCCCCGACCACACCGCGGGCCTGGCCGCACGGCTGGCAGAGAGAGCCTGAGGCGGGCGGCTGCCGCTCGGGCTCCAGCTCCAGAGAGCTAACGGGCGGCGAGTTTCCATGGCAACGGCCGCGTCACCGCCGCTCGCCCCGCCCCCTGCTCGGCCAAGGCCACGCTGGCCCGCGAGGTCCGCGCACACGGGTGGTTCGGGGCAGGGAGCTGGGAGCGATAGGCCGCTCTTCCCGTGAGAGTGGGGTCAGCCAGCTAGCAGAAGGAAGGCGACAGGGCTGAGGCCTAGGATGGGCTGACTGGGGAGGGCTGACGGGGAGCGCAATGGAGGCACGCCATGTGGAGGTGGTGTTGGACACGGTTACTGCTGCTTCTGCCCATTCTCCCATCCTTCCCCGTTCCTAAGGTCCAGGCCCTCGCCGGGATCCAGGGCACTGTTCCCTCCTATTTCGAAGGCCCCAGGGCCCTTTCTTCCGCGCTGCGCCTCGCCCTGCCCTCGTGACTCGAGAAGCGCGCGCATGGGGATCCCGGTCCACTGGGACTTCCCACTTGCTTCTCGCCAAGATGGCGGCCTCACCAGGGAGGACCCGGGGGCCACGGCTGGGCAGAGCCAGCCTGAACTGCTGGGGAGAAGGGAACCCCAGAGGGTCCCTAGGGCAGGGAAGCCTCAGATAGATGCAAGGTCCTGGTGCCACGCCTTTTCCAGGTATGCAGGGTACTGTTGACATCTGAGGGTGTGTCCCTGCCACGACACTGGGGCTGCCAATACAGAGGAGGTGCCAGGGCCAGAGCCCTGGAGCACTGGTGAGGACGTGAAGGCAGCTGAGTCACACCCCACGGTGCAGGCGATACTGTGGCAACTTTGTCCACTGGCCAGGGTGGTGGGGGCCTCACTTGTGTAACGCAGGACAAATGAAGGGCACCTCTTTCTGTTAGTCCCTTTGTTAGGAGGGATAGATGCTGCTGACCCAGATTTACTAGTGTAAGGAGATTATTGTACATAAAACATAATATTCAATATAGTGAAGGAAGGTCAAAGGCCGTATTCCCTCTTGTAGCCACCAGAATTAAGTGGAGCAGATTAAAGAGGTGGTGGTGCGGGGGGTGGATGGTGCTGTTAGGAGTGGTGGTTGGTTTTATGAGGAAAGACAGAAAAACTGAAAGGAGCTGGCCCCAGTACCACCAGGGCAAAGCCAAGTTTGGCTTCAATTATGAGCTCCACAGGAAAATTATCCCCACAATGCCCAGGAGCAGAAGATCCTTGTTTTGACATGGGGTTTAAGTCGGGATGTTTTGTCCAATTGTCACTGCTTCCTTGGCTTCCCAAGAGTGCAGCTGAGCCCAAACTCAAGCTGGCTGCAGTGTTCCATCAGGCTTATGGCTTTTGTGCTTGAGGCCTCCCTGCCGCTTCATGGGTCAGGTGTCCCCTGCCCTCAGGGGTAGGTTCCATATTCAAGCACTGCCTTCTATGTAGTCTGGCCTGTCCCACCTTTATCCTGTCTGGGTGAGGATATGAAAAAGGGAACATACGACATTACCATTGCTGACTGAGCATGAAAGTATATAGTAAGTGGGATGACAGGGAGGACCACTGGATCAGCCGCTGCAGTTCCAGACTTCAATCAACATTTTAATTACCAAGTCTATATTTAGCAAGACAGTGTGGGAGAGATAAAGAGGAAGGAAGGGGTAGGTGGTGAGGGGTCTCAGAGGAGCTGGCCCATTTTCTGCACTGGCTGCAGAGCCTTGCAGTCCTGGCCAGGAGTTCTTGGCCTTGTGCCCTTCAGAAGTGCCAACAGGCATCAAGGAGGTACTTAATGCAGCTACAGCTCAGTGGCAGCTGCAGACCCCATCTAAGAAATATGTCATCAGGACTGTCCTTTAATAGTCTTCCTCCTCTCTCCAGCTGTGGGAAAGAGGACTGGCCAAGAATTTCAGGTGGAGTCAGTGTGACTGCAGGGTCACCGCAACAGCTTTGGCTGTGGCGTTGAGGATGGTGGTGGGAAGCCGAGCAGCAGCAAGCACGGCAGGGATGTCTCTGGGGACCCTCTGGATGGGCGGGATGTTGGGGCCCTCCAGTGTGTCCAGGATCCCTGGAAGGAAGATGGAAGGTGAGCAAGGGTCAGATGGGCCCAGCCCACTGACCATGATATCCAGCTTCTTGCCCTAGGCAGCTGCTGTCCCGTTCTCCCCCACCCAGGCCTTCCTGCCACTTACCCTCTACCACTTTGTGGTAGGCAAAATGCAGATAGAGCAGGAAGAGCATGTGTAGGGCGGCCAGGGTGCCACAGAGGAGCAGCCGCTGTGTGGGGCCCACGGTCCGAGACACCAACACTGCTACCTAGGGCCATGAGAATACAGCTCAAAGGGCCTGGCTCCAAAGTGAGGAGTGGGGAAGACACTCCCACCCAGGGCAGAACCATCTTTGGGCCCTTCCCTCCCATTTAGGGCTCTTTGTGAGATGGACAGCTCCAGGCTATCTTCTTCAACTCCCTGGGAGGACAGCCCACCCCTGGAAGACTCTTGCCCAGCTTACCATGCGCAGTGTGGACAGTCCACCCACCAAAAGCCAGAAGAGGTAGAAGAGGGTGTGAAGATGGATATTATAGGTGATGAACAGGACAATGCAGTGCCCAAAGAGGCCATAGCCCTGGGAAGGAGGATGGTGGAGAGGGGAATCACTCAGGTTGGGCTGGTTTCTGGCCTCTCATGGGGACCGTGGGAAACACATGGTCCATTGGCCTACTCCTCCCATTCCAGGCTTCGGGGCCCCAGGACAGATGCAGACCAAGGCCTGGCTCCTCTTTTTAACTCTTGCCCACCACACCTGGCTCCTTACCAGCAGTGCCAACATCTGCAGCATGGTGATCTGGGCGTTGCACAGGTAGGCGAGGAAGTAAATGAAGGATGAGACTCCCAGCCAGTAGCCGAAGCAGGTGCCAATGGCTGTGCCCATCAGGGTGCCCTCCCGCTGTGGGGTGAAGGCTCTACTTAGTCCTAGGAGGCCTCTGATCTCAGCCTCACCTAGGGCCTTCCGCAGGGGCGGTTCCTGTCTCACTCCACCACCGCATCCTCAGGCAGCTTTCAACCTAGTGCAGCCACCCCCCCAAAGTTGTCTGTCCTGCTTACGATAATAGTGTCAGACGTCTTCATCCCGTGGAGTAGGATGGCAACCAGTGTGAAGACCAGCATGAGAGGTCCATAGAGTTCACCTGCAATTTTCTGTCAATATACCAACTCATTCAGGCTGGAGGGTACAACAGCTCGTCTCTTTATGGCTTCCCAGGATTTGCCTGGTGGTCCCACCCTCTGCCCTGGTGCTTCCCCCCGCTCTCCAGACGTGCCACCCCCTATTCACCTGGGGGAAGTTGACCATCTTGATAGGGATCATGGACTCCAGGAGCCTGGGAAAGGAGAGGAGAGATTAAAGCAGAGGCAGCCCGAGGCCATGAGGTTCTGGAGGGCAAGGCCTGAATTTTATTCATCTCTAACTCCAGGGAATGGGGCCTGGCCTAGAGGACATGTCGGATGACAGGGTAGAACAGGGTAGTAAAGACCGATAGGGAATGAGGAAATCATTTCCTTGCCCCTAAAATTAACTTCCAGGAAGGACAACCCTCTGAAACTTAGCTGACTGAAACAGCAGCTATATGGAGAACTCAGCCCTGCTGGGCCTTGACGGAGAGCCTAACCATGTATCCATCTGCCCCCCTCCCCTTGAAAAGACCGGCAGGCTGAGCGCGGTGGCTCACACCTGTAATCCCAGCACTTTGGGAGACTGAGGCGGACAGATTACAAGGTCGGCAGTTAGGGGCCAGCTTGGCCAATATGGTGAAACCTCGTCTCTATGAAAGATACATAAAATTAGCTGGGCATGGTGGCGGGTGCCTGTAGTCCCAGCTACTCAGGAGGCTGAGGCAGGAGAACTGCTTGAACCTGGCAGGCGGAGGTTGCAGTGAACCGAGATCGCGCCACTGCATTCCAGCCTGGTGACAGAGTGCGACTCCATCTCAAAAAAACAAAACAAAATAAAAAGACAAGACAGGCAGACCTTAGCAGAGAGTACCCAGAATTCAGGGCTATAATGAGGAAGCCCTGGGAAAAGTCTAGCGGGCTAGATAGAAGGTTTAGAATGAAAGGTGTTACTGAGGGAATAGTAAAAACGCCTCCTCTTCCTGCTTAACTGTGCCTCCAGGTACTGTCGAGCATTTTCTTGAAAAATGTATGTGAAGTGGTATGAAAATTCAGTCACTTGCCCCTTCTCTCAAGTGGCTAGCTCCTAATCATACCTTGGATTTTAGCTAGATTTTACTTCCTCTGGGAAACTTGTCCTGTCCCACCCACCAACCTGCTTTGGCTCACATATCCCTCCTGTGTGCCCCATCATAGCATGAATACTGTGCTGTAACTGCATTCAAGAGCAAGGCTCCTATCTATCTTCACCACTGAACCAGATACAATTAGTATAGGGTCTGGCACAGAGCAAATGCTTAATAAATACTTGCAGAGTGGTCCTGGGTATTTGATTAGCATTGATTAAAGGACGAACAAAAAAACCAAACCAGGATTAAATCTAGTTCTTGAAAAGTCACTCAAAAACTATGCCCTGATATTTTGATTCTGAGACTGTTCTGCTGCTGGGAATAAAAAGATAAACAAGACAGAGCCTGCTTTTGAGATGCTGTTGGTCTCTGGGGGGAAGATTCCAGGAATAAGAAAGGAAAGCAGTGGTGAAGTGCTGTCTATTAGAGGCAAGCACAGAGTTTTTTGTTTTTTTTGTTTTTTTTAAGATGGAGTCTAGCTCTGTGGCCCAGGCTGGAGCGCAGTGGCGCGATCTCGGCTCACCGCAAGCTCTGCCTCCCGGGTTCATGCCATTCTCCTACCTCAGCCTCCCAAGTAGCTGGGACTATAGGTGTCCGCCACCATGCCCAGCTAATTTTTTTTGTATTTTTAGTAGAGACGGGATTTCACTGTGTTAGCCAGGATGGTCTCGATCTCCTGATCTTGTGATCCACCCGCCTCAGCCTCCCAAAGTGCTGGGATTACAGGCATCAGCCACCGCACCCGGCTGCCAAGCACAAAGTTCTATAGGAACACCAGGAGAGAACAAACTGGGGGTGGGATTGAGGAATGTGGAACAGAGGAAGTGACATCTGAGATAGGTTTTGAGGGAATATGAGTAGTCAGCTAGATGGAAAAAAGGAGAAAGTTGGTGTGCTATTATTATTTGTTTCAGTGACAGGTGCAGTGATGAGAGATGATGGGGTCATGAAGAGGGGGAGCCCACCAGAGCCCAGGGCTTGAAATCTGATTGTAGTGTGCATAAAGGACTAGGTGTTAGGAGGGAAGCTTCTTCAAGAGAAGGCTCCTCACCTGCTCCGCACCTGAGCAGGCTCCACATCAAAGTACGGTCTGAGGATGTCGATGTTGGCGTACAAGCTGAAGGCCCTGGAGGCTTGTCTCTTCCCGGCCTGCCACATCTGAAGTAAGGAAGATGGGCATAGGTATTGTGGGACTGTTGGTTCTAGACCCTGTTGCCTATTTTCCGCTTGGTTTCTACATGGTTCTAACTGGACAACCTGGGGCGAACATCACCAACACCAACTCCAGAACATGGGACATATCTAGGTATACCTTTCCACCTGCAGAGGATTCAATCATGCTTACCTGATCTGCCACCTGCCGGCTCAGCTGTCCCTTAAAGCCCTTCATGCCCAGGAACTCTCCATCCTCTTCTTCAGCAGCAGCTGCATCAGCTGCATCAGCGTCTACTTCTTCCTCGCGCAGGCGCTGATGCAGCTCACCCATATCCTCGAAGCTAGAGCCTGAGGTATCATCCATGTTCTCCATGTCAATCACAGCCGAGCCTCCGCCCTGTGAAGACAATGGCTCCTAGAGTTGTCAGAAAAGAGTTGCAGGACTTTTCTGTTCCATCCATTAAGTCCTCTGCTCATCCCAGGGTTTAGGGCTTTGTTCTTCCACTGCTGAGGATACGGCTCGGAATCACTACAGATCATGCCACTCCATTCCCCCTCATATGCTCTCAGAACTCTTGGTTTCTAGCTTTGGCTGAATTTTCTAGCCTGGGAAACATACTACTAGTCTTCTATTCCTATCTTTTTCCTACCTTACCTACCAAAGACTAAAAGGCTGAAAAAGTGCCCATTTCCTTCTTTCCTAAGCCCCAAACAAAACTATACACATAATATGTTTTCAGCGAATGCCAGTGAATCCCACCCAACCCCACTCCATGCCTGACCCCGACCAACTTCCTAACTTGTTCCAAGAATACCTTCTTCCTAATGCCTCCAGCGGGCCCAGAGACCCGAGACCCTCAGGCTGGAGTACTAGTCTGGCCCTTTCAGGTCAATGTTAATCCTACTGACTTTAGTGGGCACGAAAACCCAAAGAAGAGAGTTTTGCAAATGGAGCGGACTTCCAGGCCCACAGGGAGAATCCTCAAGACACTTCTGGACATCGCCGGCCCTCGGGTTGCTGGCAGCTAGTGCCTTGGGGCCATTACCTGGATGTTTTCTTCGAACCCTCCCCATTCCGGGCCAGCTCCATTTCGGGCGCCGCCCGCCGGCGCCGGTGTAGTTGCCATGTCCCTTGAAGGCTCCCGTCGCTGAAGCCCGCGCTAGCCCCGCGCGCGGAGGAGTGGGCGAGACGTGGGCCTCAGAGAGGGAGACGTCCCGGGTCGAGGAGAGGTGGGATCGGCCGGAACACAAAAATGAGAAGCCCGGATGTTTGGACAAAACCAACTTCCGGAGGCTGGGGACGTGGACGGAGGCGGGGAAAAGTCTCGCGATACTTAAATTCCAGGAGAAGGCGCGTTGCCACGGAGACGGAGCCAGGCTACTAGGACGCACGCGCCAGATAGACCCTCTAGTCTCGTGGAGAGATTGAAGATGGCGGCTTCTCAGGCGGTGGAGGAGATGCGGGGCCGCGTGGTTCTAGGGGAGTTTGGGGTTCGCAATGTAAGTAAGCCTTGTGGTCTTGAGCTCGGGCGGGAGGAATGAGAGCGGAACAGGGGTGGGTCTTGGGATTGGCGTGGGGATAGCTGTGGGCTCATTGTCTCTTCGTGGACAAACTCGTCCCTTTGCTCTAGGTCCATACCACTGACTTTCCTGGAAACTATTCCGGTTATGATGATGCCTGGGACCAGGACCGCTTCGAGAAGGTAAGTGGGGCCAGAGTTGTCTGGGGAGGGTTATGAAGGCCAGACCCTGTGGTCTGAGCAGCCTGTGTCTGTCTCAGCAGCTGCTTTTGGGGGTCGCTCCGTTTGTGTTTGTTGAGCAATGTGCTAGACGCTCCGTTTACAGGCCAAATTAGCCACGGTTTCTACCCAGTTCTGCAAAGATGTTCCGTCTTGTTGAGGAATGGTGCGTAAAAACAAGTGCATCTATGGTGAAGGTGGTTGATGGCGATGAAGACGGCAGGGTTGGGGTGGGGAGCATTCTGCTGAGACCAGGAAGAGGGGCCGAGAGGTACTTAACATTTCAAAAGGAGGGGACATCTGAATTGAAGCTTGAATGGTAAGTAAAAAAAAAAACAGGAGTTGAATTATGAAAGATTTGAGTTTCACGTCAGTGAAGTTCAGGATATGCAGGTTTTGTGTGTATTTAGTCTTTTGTATTATTGTTTCACTTAGCTTAAAATAAGGGTTAAAATTGCATTTAAATAGGTTACTGAATGTTACCCTTTATGCAACTGACCTAAATGTTACCTTTTATGCAGCTTATAAACATGATGTGTAAATCAGTGCCTAGGAAAATTTTACTTTTTTAACCTGTTGATACAAGGAATAAAGTATGAACAATGAAAAAGGCTAATGCTTGAAAAAAAATTATGACTTCTGTGACATGTGCTCCGGGAATGTCCAAGTAGTTCTGGCATGAGTGGTCGGCAAGATTGAAGTGTGTCACACTGTGGATGATAGGGAGCTTGAATAGTTCTTAAGCAGACATGATCAGATTTGCAACCTTGATGGCTGGGAGGGAATGAGTTTGAGGAGGATCATATGGAGCAGGCAGATCTGTTGTAAGGGAAGCTGAGGTTGAAGATATGAACTAAGACTGATGGTAGAAATAGAGCAAAGGAAGAATATAAGGTAAATTTATGATTGCTTGGATAAAGGCTGTGGGGGTAGCATAAAATGACTTTTTGGCTTGGGAACTGCTTTTTGCTTTGTGGTATCATTTACTGAGTGGAGAAATGGGTCTGGGGAACAGGGATGATGATGCATTGTTTTCTGTATGTGGAGAAATCTAGCAGGCTAGAAGACTGCATGCTTGAAATGAGATCAGAAGTGAGATAAAATTTTTGGAGTTGTCAGAACAGATAGTTGCTAAAACTGTTAGTACAGTTAAGGTGACCTGGGAGAGAGACGAGAACCTGGCAAATTTAGAGATGGGTGGAAGTTGATCATCAGAGACGGAAGAAGAGTGGAGCTCAGAAACCAGGGGAATCATTCAAAAAAGGGGATTTTTTTTTTCCCCCCCTTTTCATGAGACACTCTTATCTCCCAGGCTGGAGTGCAGTGGTGCAATCTTGGCTCACTGCAACCTCCGCCTCCTGGGTTCAGGCAGTTCTCCTGCCTCAGCCTCCCGAGTAGCTGGGACTACAGCTACGCGCCACCATGCCCAGCTAATTTTTTGTATTTTTAGTAGAGACGGAGTTTCACCATGCTAGCCAGGCTGGTCTCAAACTCCTGACCTTGTGATCCGCCCCTCGGCCTCCCATAGTCCTGGGATTACAGGTGTGAGTCACCGTGCTGGGCCAGGAGGAGGTTTTTTAATCAATGTCAAGCATAACAGAAGTCTAGTAAGAGGACTGGGTAGTGTCAACAGGACTAAGCACTATGGTAGTTTCTGTTCTTTAGTGGAATAGCTTCTGTGGATGGTTTGGTTGGAAGCCATATTGCATAGGGTTTTAATGAATGGACGACAAAAATGGAGACTTTTTATGAAACTAAAACACTGGGCGAGAAAGAATATTTAATAAGAGACATCTGGGCAAAGGGAGGTTTTTGGACGAGAGGATAATACTTCAGGGAATTATCTAAGGGGGAGGTATGAAGAGATATTACAGAGAGAGCAGGTTTCACTTAAATGTTTTTCCTGTCCCTCTAGAATTTCCGTGTGGATGTAGTACACATGGATGAAAACTCACTGGAGTTTGACATGGTGGGAATTGACGCAGCCATTGCCAATGCTTTTCGACGAATTCTGTTAGCTGAGGTATTGGCAGGCATGGTGACAAGGCTGGAGTTGCTTTGGGAACTGCACTGACACCTCACTTGGAGAATTGTCTCAAGCTGTCCTTCCCTCATTTTTCCTGGAATTTTGCTGAGCATTTTACCTTCTCATTCTTTGTAAATTTCTCATTAAACATTCTAGGAAGAGAGATAGCTCCTTACCTCTGGAGGGTGGGGTTGTGGGGATAGGTAGGGGGTCTCTTGGGTTTTTGCAGATAAGTGGTTATTTTTCCTTGGGCAGGTGCCAACTATGGCTGTGGAGAAGGTCCTGGTATACAATAATACATCCATTGTTCAGGATGAGATCCTTGCTCACCGTCTGGGGCTCATTCCCATTCATGCTGATCCCCGTCTTTTTGAGTATCGGAATCAAGGTAAGAAAATGAAATTTTGGGAGAAGTGGACTGTCTGGGTTCAAATCCTGGTTGACTGTGATGTTGGGTAAGTTACTTATCTTTGTACATCAGTGTTTTTCATCTGTGAGAACACTTGCCTTGGCTTCCCAAGTTTGCCGTAATTAAATGGGACACATATGTAAAGCATTCAGCATAGTGCTGGCACTCAGATGTTTACTAGTTCTTCTTAAGAGCTCCCTCCATTTGTGCAGGAGATGAAGACGGCACAGAGATAGATACTCTACAGTTTCGTCTCCAAGTCAGATGCACTCGGAACCCCCATGCTGCTAAAGATTCCTCTGACCCCAACGAACTGTATGTGAACCACAAAGGTAAGTAGTGGTAGGGTGAGGAAGAGGCCCCACCTGTGGGTGGCTGCTAGTTTTAGGAACTGAGATCTTTTGACATGTTTTTCCTCCAGTGTATACCAGGCATATGACATGGATCCCCCTGGGGAACCAGGCTGATCTTTTCCCAGAGGGCACTATCCGACCAGTGCATGATGACATCCTCATTGCTCAGCTGCGGCCTGGCCAAGAAATTGACCTGCTCATGCACTGTGTCAAGGGCATTGGTGAGAACCCTGTGTTCCTTTCTGGGAAGAGGGGTAGTTTGGTTGCAGTGGGGCAAGCTGACTAGGGAACTCAGTTGAGATATTCCCGGCAGGTAGAAAGCCAAGAGCATTGTGCTTTTGCTGTTAGCAGCTTAGGAAGAGTATTCTTCCTAATCCTAGAAGGGTTTCGTATAGGCACTTTCTCTCTTCCTCTCCAGGCAAAGATCATGCCAAGTTTTCACCAGTGGCAACAGCCAGTTATAGGCTCCTGCCAGACATCACCCTCATTGAGCCCGTGGAAGGGGAGGCAGCTGAAGAACTGAGCAAGTGCTTCTCACCTGGTGTTATTGAGGTGCAGGAAGTCCAAGGTGTGGTATTTGGGGTGCTGTTCAGGTTAGGACCTAAATTATATTTTCTTTGAAGGTGACAGAAATAAAAACCCTGGGTTCCTAAAAGTATAACATGGTTTGCTACCAAGGGGCAAATTAGAAAAAAGAATAAAAAAAACATGGCTTGTTCTCATTAGGTAAAAAGGTGGCCAGAGTTGCCAACCCCCGGCTGGATACCTTCAGCAGAGAAATCTTCCGGCATGAGAAGCTAAAGAAGGTTGTGAGGCTTGCCCGGGTTCGAGATCATTATATCTGTGAGTATGAAGTGGTGAGATGAGTGGGCAGTACTCTTTGGTGCTCCAGCTTCCTTCCAGTCTAGATGTGAAGTTTGAGTAACAGGGGCTTTCTACAGGCAAGCCCTGCCTAGGCTAAAGTGTCTCTTTGATCCCCAGTCTCTGTTGAGTCAACGGGGGTGTTGCCACCAGATGTGCTGGTGAGTGAAGCCATCAAAGTACTGATGGGGAAGTGCCGGCGCTTCTTGGATGAACTAGATGCGGTTCAGATGGACTGAGCTTGGATGTTCCTGAGGCAAGCTGAAGCTTTGGGTTCTGACTGACCCACCCTACAGGACTGCTGTACAGAGAGCCCAGTGTGACTAGGGATCCTGAGTTTTCTGGGACAATTCCAGCTTTATTTTTAATCAATACATTTTGTTAAATGTGCCATAAAATGAGACTTTTAGGCCTTTATAAGGCCTTAGATGTAAATAAACTCATGTCCAAACAAAACTTTTTGAGACTACTTTTATGTTTTTTGAGACAGAGTCTCATTCTGTTGCCCAGGCTGGAGTGCAATGGTGCAATCTCTGCTCACTGTAACTTCCTCCTCCTGGGTTCAAGCAATTCTCTTGCCTCAGCCTCCCAAGTAGCTGGGACTACAGGTGTGTACCACCATGCCTGGCTATGTCTAATTTTTTGTATTTTTAGTAGAGAGAGGGTTTCACCATGTTGGTCAGAGTGGTCTCAAACTCCTGACCTCAAGTGATCTGTCTGCCTTGGGGCCTCCCAAAGTGTTGGGATTACAGGTGTGAGCCACCATGAAAAACAGGTCCTCACTTCAGAACTGGTTTGACCTTTAGCAATTAAGAACATCAGATGTACACTCCAGCCTGGGTAACAGTGAGACCCTGTCTCAAAAACAACAAAAAACACCTCCTGAGAATTGGCAAATTAAGGTGGTTTCTGGGAGCACAGCCAAACCCCTAGAAAAACATTCAAGCTAGAGTGAATGCGCCATTTCACCTGTCTCCTGGATTACCAGGGAAGTTCATGTCGCTATTGACAGCTCCAACAAAGAACAGTAGCAATTCCTTTGGGCCAGGCCCAGCAGCCACATACGAAAGACACTGTGAGAATGGTATGGGCTGCCTAGTCTGGGTGTGTCAGGATAGAAATCCTTTTCTAACTGGCACACCATTTCAGAAAGCTTGAAAAACCAGGTTCATCAGTCACATTTCTTCCTGTTCAGTCCCCTTTTGCAGGGTGCTCATGGAGTAACTCTGGAGTATGTCACTGGTTTTAAGACTAGGTTGAAAAAGGCAGATGGGTCCCTTTCTGTATGAAACTGAGACTTTTACTGACATGCAGATGTGCTTTAGAGTTAATGTTTCTACAAAAAGTTTCTATAAACAATAGAAAACTTCTAGCATGAAGTCACAGGATGTTAAAAATATTACAACACAATAAATACAACTACACCCTCCACAGCCCCAACCAGACAGGAATAGGCAGCTATCAGGTTTGGAGGGAAACACTCTTGAGATCGCCTTCACAATCCATAGGAACCCAGAGCACCACACAGGAGGAGGGAGCAACATGAGACTCCAACTTCTGCTTCCTCAGCTTTGCCTCTTCCCAATCTGACCCTGCCTGTGGCCCGCACCAGCTAAACACTGTAGCTTCAGTCCACTTCGGCTCTCATGGAAACCCTCTTGTCAGTGGATTGGTGGACAACAGGTCTGTTTTTGTGCAGAGCACATGGACACACTGGTTTCTGTATGGATTAAGTCTGCCTTTATGGCCAGTAATAACGTCAGGGCCAGGTCCCATATCCGAGTCCTGTTTATAGGGCCTTTCAGTGACCTCTAGAATGGACTCACAGTACAGGTTGTGATGCAAAGGCATGTATTTTTTTCTTTTGGAGATGGCCTTTGAGAAAAGTAACCAGGGACCTGAAAGACCATGAGATTGCGGAAGGCACCTGGTCTTAGTCCTAGAAGACCAGTGGCTTTGCTAGCTGCTTATCACAGATGTAGCCTAGTTGGTCTGTTTTATCCTTGGATGACAATGGTGTCATGTGACACTCTCTAGGGTACTGTGGCTCTTGTGCCTGAGTGGACCTTGAGGCTGGGGAAGCCAGACTGAGGGGTCATTCATGGAAGGGCAAGATGTGTGAGCTCTAAAGGGGATGTTAGCACTCAAGACTGCCCAGCCCTGGTCCTTGGAGGTACTATACTTGACACTGTGCCAAGTTTAGCAGTAGCCTATACCATGTGTCCCATCAGGTGACCAGATTCTTGCCCAAAGCAAAGTTGAGAGAACTGGCCAAGTTTTTTTCAGCACTTAGCACCTAACCCAGACGTGCCCCTTAGGGAGTGGGGCAAGTTTCCTGCCAGCCCAGCAGCAAAAGGGCTCAGTGGGAGTTGGAGTGGTCCAAGAGAAACTCTGGCACAAGTAGTTGAGGGCTGTGCACTTGCTGCGAGCCTTGCTAGTCGCAGTGTTGGGCACAGCATCCCTAGTTACCATTCTGTACAGGCTGCACAGGGGTGGGAGGGCTTGTGGGAGAAGGGCTGCTCTGCTCTAGCTTTTCTTGGAAAAGCCAAATCTCCAAGTAGAATGGGAACTATCTGGGACATCTAGACAGAATGGTTTAAGCCCTAACTCCCTTTCTTGATACTTTAGTATAATTACTTCTGGTCCTGCACAGGGCCTGTTCTCTCCAGCTCCAGACCTGGATCTCTCTCCAGGCTAACAATAGTGGAAAGTGAGGTGGCAGTGCAAGAAGGGCCTAGAGATTAGCTACAAAGGGAAAGAAGAGATGACAAGAAAGGCCGAGGAAGGATGCCCAAAAAATTGATTCAGGGTTCAAAGATGGTGGCCAGGCCACCCCCATCATTGTCCAGCACCTCTGTCTCCAGCATTGGCTTTGTTTTTTTGAAAAGTGAGGGAAGATTCTTAATGTGAACTTCTTTTCGGAACTGCTCTCCCAAGGGTTTCTGTGGAAAACAAATGAGAAAGAATTAATGCTGGGCCCTAAGTAGTAGTTGAAGATTCTCTTGGTCTGGCGCAGTGGCTCACGCCTGTAATCCCAACACTTTTGGGAGGCCAAGGCGGGTGGATCACTAGAGGTCAGGAGTTCAAGACCAGCCTGACCAACATGGAGAGACCGCGTCTCTACTAAAAATACAAAAAATTAGCCAGGTGTGGTGGCGCATGCCTGTAATCCCAGCTACTTGGGAAGCGGAGGCAGGAGAATCGTTTGAATCTAGGAGGTGGCGGCTGTGGTGAGCTGAGATTGCACCACTGCATTCCAGCCTGGGCAACAAGAATGAAACCCTGTCTCAAAAAAAAAAAAAAAAAAAAATTATATCACCATAATGGTCAATAACTACACTTGGTTTATAAGGTTTGCCCATACACATGATTTAAGAAGAGGGTTGGGTGCACTAATGAAGGTGCGTGACCTACCCCTATGCAACCAGCAATGAGGCGTTTGAATTGGTCCTTTCGGCGCTTGTCAGCCACTTTCTGCAGGGAGGGGTTTAAAAGCTTGCAGTCAAACTGGTCCAGTGAGTCCTTCTGTATTTCAGGGATTTGCTCCATTACAGCTCTTATCTCCAGGTACCTGGGGCGCTGATACCAGCAGGAATAAACTTACTGGATGTAGGTTATTGCCACCCTCCCCATTTCCTGCCACACCCATTTCTCAGAGCTAGCACCAGCAATTTGGCAGGTGCTTGGATTTAGTTAGGATAAGGCCCAAGAGACTAGAAGCAGACTGAGTGATAAAGCTGCAGCCATCCTGCCCCATGCTTTCCCCACTCACCAACGCCTCGTATATCTGGAAGGCCAGATGGACCAGGGAAGCCATGCACCCGTCGTGCTGCCCGTGCATCTGTAAGCCTTTCAGCACACTGGTGAAAAGCCACGTAACTGCATCTGCGAGCAGTGTCCCTGACAGCACCTGGGGAGACAGCTGTGCTTTAGGGCCACAGGGGGCCTCTCTCAAGGCCTCAGCACCCCAATTCTTCTGAATGATTTAGTCAATCTGCATGACCCAAACCTTCTATGAGGGGCAGGGAAAAGGGGTGAACCACCATACTTGTTTGAGGAGAGGCCAGCAGAGCTGTGAGGTCGTCCTCTGGCAGGACAGAGTATCCTTCCAGGCCAGGGAATTGAAGGCTGTAATTAATAGCGCTGTACAAACATCCTGAACAGGAAAGGATGAAGGATTACAGTGGGAAAAGCAGCACAATTTTCTCTGATTATTATTATACATCAGGAGCTGGAGGTTGTTTTTTTTTTCTCCCCCCTCTAAAGATGGGGTCCTTGTTTTGTTGCCCAGGCTGGTCTTGAACTCCTGGGCTCAAACTATTCTCCCATCTCAGCCTCCCAAACAGCTGGGACTACAGGTGTGCGCCACCATGCCTGGCTTAGGAGCTGGAGTTTTAAATAGCAAAGCAGGAAAAATAAAAGAAGTGAGTTTACTTCCTCTATTTTTGTGTATTGCCAGTCAAAAAGAAAAAACCAAAATGTGAGAAAACCTGTATGTGCAGGATGGAGACAAAGCTCAGGCCTGGCTGGGGGAGGCTAAACACCAGGGATCTGCATCAGTGTGCCTACTATGTGTTTTCCTGAGAGCCCCTGCCTATGCTGGTATGGGAGACACCATGGCACTGCACCTTTTCCCTCGTTTTTTTCTGGGGCCTTAAGAACCAGGAACTTACATAACAAAAGAGTATTACAAAAAACTCTTGATAGCACCATAGAGCAAGAAAAGTAAAAGGTGGCTCCCCACCTGGGCAAGGAGTAAAGGTATCACCTGTTCCTTCTACCCACCTCATGCTTCATCAGACATTTGCCCAGGTCTGTAAGTTCTGCCATAGCTGAGGGGGTGACCTCTGTGGCCATCATTTCTTCATCTGTTATCAGAGAGTAGAATGTTAAGCTCCATCCTTTCAGAACAGAGAAGAATATCTTGTTCTGACAGAAGCGCAAAAAAAGCAAAGCTGAGTGTTCTAGGTTAACTGGTGGCTAAGTAGTACTGGGACCCCTCCCACCTCCACATAATAATAGCCCATGCCCATGGCCAATCTTCTAGAGATGCACCCAAGCCATACATGAGGGAAACGGGAGCTTCTAGGCAGAAACACAAAAAGCTGCAAATACTGAAGATACTTTGTTGTCGGACAAATATTTGAGCACCCTCTGTACCAGGCACTGATCTAGTTACTGGGGATAAAATGAATAGGACAATAGATCCCTTCCCTGATGGGAGTTTACATTCTAACATGGGAAATACGTAAGAAAGGAATACATAAATAAAAACATAATGTGCAGTGACAAGTGCTATTAAGAAGAATAAAGCAGAGGAATACAGAGTAGCTGGGGTTACTATTTTTGATAGGTTGGTCATGGATGATCTCTTGGAAGAGGTGACATTGGAATGAAGCAAGGGAATAGATCACGTATATGGTTGGGAGAAAATCATCCAAGACAGAGGAACCAGCAAGTGCAAAGGCTTGGAGGTGGGAGTATGATGGAGGCACACAGCAAGAGGGCTGGTCCAGAGATGACAACTAGATGTAGGATGTCTCCTCTCCAGACTGCAAGGAAACCGACCTGGTTCAGAAGGAACAGTATTTAGGAGGCTAAGAGCAGACTTCCAAGGTCTCACAGGCTCACTTACCATCTCCATCTGCTGGGGGAGCACTACTGTGGTCAGCACCCTTCTTTGAAACACAGCAAACCGCTAAAGCAAGAAAGCAGGGTTACTAGGTGAAGGGTGGGTATATACTACCACAACAGCCACCTCAGGCCCACTGATCCCAACCTGTCTCTGGCCAGGTGAGGAAGGTGGAAGATGGGGGTACTGTCCAAGGCACAAGAATTAGCTTCACCAATAGAAATAGAGGCATTCTGATGACCGAACTGTTTTGTTCCTTCAAGTTCAACTAGCTGAGAGAAAATTACAGAATTCTGTGAGAGTGAGTGACTAGGAGAGGATGCTTGATAATCCTTGGTCTACTTTGAATCTCAAACAACAAAATGACACAGTAAAAACAAAAAGAAAATTAACAGCCTCCATGTCCAAGAATTTAAAACATTTCCATATTTTGAGAAAACTAGGAAGTTTTTCCTAATGAATCCAAATTCCTCCTGCTATTTTAGATTGTTTCCCCATATTCTGGCTTTGGTACTATTCAGCTTGCAATTCATAAAGTGTCCTTAGGTTGACTTCAGCACTGCCTTGCTTCTATCTAGTTATTTCTTTTAGATCTGTCAGTGTTGCTGCAAACATGAATCCTTTTTTTTGAGACAGAGTCTCTTTCACCAGGCTAGAGTGCAGTGGTGTGATCTCAGCTCACTGCAACCTCTGCCTCCCAGGTGCAAGCGATTTTCCTACCTCAGCCTCCCCAGTAGCTGGACTACAGGCGTGCACCACCACGCCTAGCTAATTTTTGTATTGTTAGGAGAGAGAGTTTCACCATGTTGGCCAGGCTGGTCTCGATCTTTTGACCTCGCAATCCACCATGCCCGGCCACAAACATGAATCCTTTGCATTAGTCAGGCCTTCGTGGAGTTGGCTGAGTGACCAGCTCTTTTCCAGGAAAATTCTCTATAGCCCCAGTTTCTACTTGCCACTTACTGATTAGGTCCATGACTTCTCGGGTTAACATCCTCACCAGTTGCTCCTCCAGCATCTCTTGAGACTCTGGGTTTTCATCTGCAGCCTCATCTTCTCCACTGCAGAAAACCAGAGGGCCAAGTTCCACAGGAGTGCAGAAAGCAAGCAGTGACCCTAATCAGACTCTCTGTGACCACTTTCTTCGAGTCTTCGTTTTATGCAAAAGTTGGGAATGGACAGCAGTGATCCACTGAAGGACATTATTACTAGTGATTCTGTCCAGTTGGATAGACATTACAGAATCAAAATAAGTGAGTAAGGTAACAGTAGCCCCTATAAAGGCTGGATCTCAGTCTGCCTGCTGGTCACAGCCTGTCCAGACAAGCCATATATCACCTAGACTGAGAATGACTACAACCTACTGCTCTTCTACCCTGCGACAGCAGAATCCCTGCCCACTTCCTTTCCCCACCCCAAATCTGGCTGCCAGCTCATCCACCAAGAAGAGTGGGTAGGTATGCCTTACCAGAGCAGGCTCCTTTGGTTGATAACTTGCCACTTCTGGGAAAGCCTCTGGGAAAACACAAAGGAAATAAATGCTAGAATTGGGGAAAGGATTGGAATACATAGTATCTAAAGTCAAATCCACTTCATGATTAAAATTAGCCAAGGATGATTCTAGACATCAATGACAACCTCTGTAGACTCCACACCACAAGGTTAAAAAAACCATCTATGGGCTGGGCGCAGTGGCTCAAGCCTGTAATCCCAGCACTTTGGGAGGCCGAGACGGGTGGATCACGAGGTCAGGAGATCGAGACCATCCTGGCTAACACAGTGAAACCCAGTCTCTACTAAAAATACAAAAAAAACTAGCCGGGCGAGGTGGCGGGCGCCTGTAGTCCCAGCTACTCAGGAGGCTGAGGCAGGAGAATGGCTTAAACCCGGGAGGCAGAGCTTGCAGTGAGCTGAGATCCGGCCACTGCACTCCAGCCTGGGCGACAGAGCGAGACTCCGTCTCAAAAAAAAAAAAAAAAAACACCATCTATGGTTTCTATAACCTGTCCCACATCCATGCTGAGGGTGGTATCTCAAACACCTCTTTGCTTGGAAAGAATTAACAATTTTAGAATTTCTGGGTCTCTAGACATACCTGTTCTCCACCCAGCCGGTCCCCTGTTTAATTCCAGAGTCAGGATAACAGACCTAGCATTCCTGGCAAGGGTCTGTGAGCAAGCATTCCTCTTTTTACCTTTCCTCAGTTAACAGGAGGTTAGGAGCAGAATCTGCAACTGAAGCTGCCTTGTGGCAATTAAATCAGTTTAGTTCTTTGGGGGCTGCTCGATCCTACAGCAAGGATAGTCTGCTGGGTTGCAAGGGTCAAAAATGGCCACAGGCCTTAATAGTACTCTTTGCTTCCTGCTCCTGACTTATCTTACCATATGGAGGTAGGTGAAAAGAGGTCCGAGGATGGGGGATACCAGGGCTTCATAGTGCTCTGGGGGACAGAAGAGCACCAGAGGCTTTACAAAGACCCGTGCTGCAGCAAGTTAAGAAATTTTAGTGCATAAGCACACATCCCTCACCTGTCAGGTGGTGGGCTGCACCCCTGGGCACAATCAATCCCTAAAAGATTTACCAGATGTCAAAAATATCCTGTGTTAACAGTGAAAAATCTTAAAGTTCTTTTCCTAAAATCCTAAATGGCACTGATATTCAATTCCATTATACTCTTAGTTTAGTTTCCGTCAGGCTGCACATTATGGTCCCAGGCCAGAAAGTAGGAATAAAAAAATAGGAAGGAGGACATCCTTGTAACAAATCCTCCTTCACCATTCTCCTTATAATTTCAGGTTTAAGAAACACTCAGTAGCTGCGGTGGCTCACACCTGTAATCCCAGCACTTTGGGAGGTTGAGGCAGGTGGATTACAAGGTCAGGAGAGCGAGACTATCCTGGCTAACATGGTGAAACCCCATCTCTACTAAAAAATACAAAAAAAAAACAAAAAAAACAAACAAAAAAAAAACCAAAAAAACCAATTAGCCGGGTGTGGTGGCGGGCGCCTGTAGTGCCAGCTACTCGGGTGGCTGAGGCAGGAGAATGGTGTGAACCCAGGAGGTAGAGCTTGCAGTGAGCTGAGATTGTGCCACTGCACTCCAGCCTGGGCGACAGAGGGAGACTTCATCTCAAAAAAAAAAAAAAAAAAAGAGGAAAGACAGAGATTCAACTAGTAATAAGGGTCTGAATGAGAATGAAGTGTGAAAGTGCTTCTTCTGGCTGGGTGTGATGGCTCAGGCCTGTAATTCTAGCACTTTGGAGGCTGAGGCAGGATTACTTGAGCCCAGGAGTTTGAGACCAGCTTGGGGAACATAATGCAGACCCCATCTCTACAAATAATAATAAAAAAATAGCTGGGTGTGGTGGTGCACATCTGTGGTCCAGTCCAAACTCCTCAGGAAGCTGAGGTGGGAAGACCACTTGAGCCTGCAGTGAGCTTTGATAGCACCACTGCACTCCTGCCTGGGTAACACTGAGACCCTGTCTCAAAAAAAGGCAAGTGCTTCTAAAAACACAGAAAAGGGATAAAAGTTTTATGTTTCACAGCTGGGCATGGTGGCTCATGCCTGTAATCCCAGCACTTTGGGAGGCCGAGGCAGACAGATCACTTGAGGTCAGGTGATGGAGACCAGCCTGTCCAACGTGGTGAAACCCTGTCTCTATTAAAAATACAAAAATTAGGTTGGGCACGGTGGCTCACACCTGTTACCCCAGCACTTTGGGAGGCCGAGGCGGGCAGATCACTTGAGGTCAGGAGTTTGAGGCCAACATGGCGAAAACCTGTCTCTACTAAAAATACAAAAAAATTAGCTGGGCGCAGTAGCATGTGCCTGTAATCTCAGCTACTTGGCAGGGTGAGGCACAAGAATCACTTGAACCCAGGAGGTGGAAGTTGCAGTAAGACAAGATCGTACCACTGCACTCTAGCCTGGGCAATAGAGCAAAACTGTCTCAAAAAATAGAAATATGCACGCCTGTAATCACAGCTAGTTGGGAGGCTGAGGTACAAAAATCGCTTGAACCTGGGAGGCAGAAGCTGTGAGCCGAGATCACGCCACTATACTCCAGCCTGGGCGACAGAGTGAGCAATACTGTGTCTCAAAAAAAAAAAAAAAAAAAAAAAGCTTTATCTTTAATATTTCCAAGAAGGGGGGAAGGTAAAAATTTGCCCCTCAAAGAAAAGTTTATAGCCATCTGGACTGCCTTCATGTTTTCCCTGCAATCTGCCAGTGTTTTTAATGACACGATGCACTTAGATACATCATCTCATCTCTTCCTTCCAGTTCTGCCTCCTCCCTCTGGTTCCTGTGACCTGTTTCTGTCTCTAATTTTCTGACCTTTTGGGTTATGTAGAGACTTTTGAAAGGATATGAAGCATGGGTCTGAGTCGGTAGTCAGGAATATTGTTCAAGTTGACAAAGGCTGAGCTGAGAAGCTGGGTAGCAAGGTCCTCCACAGTATAGAAGTCTTGCTGCATGGAAGGGCCTGCCTTCCCTAGGATATGAAAACTGTAAAGGGGGAAAAAAAACACTGGCAATGACAAATCCAACATCTGTTACTGCCAGCCCTGACTGTCCCATGAATTTCATTTCTAGCCTACAATAAGATTTTTCAGCCAGAAAAGCAGTTATAATTACTTAAGAGAACTTATAGATACAGCATCTTTTAAAAGACAGGTGTTGGCGGCCGAGATCAGCAGTAGCTTTCATTACTATTTAACGTGGACTTACAATGGAGGATCTCATGAGCTTGGCTGATTAGTGTACTGGGTTAGTGAGGCCAAAGCCCGTGAGGGCCAGTTATCTCCCCAACCCACAACCAGTTTCTAGCCACTCCACTCCCATAAGTAGGCTGCAAGCAGTGTAGGGTCTAAGCAATCTCCACTACTTTTAGCTTCTACTTGGGTTTCATCATGTTATACACTAGAAACAAGTTGGGCATGAAGCAGGCTGGGACTGTGAGGCTCATATGACAATTACAAAAAAAGCAAATGCAGGAAAGCAGGCTGTTCATTTCTATTTAACACTAGAATCATTAGTTTCCTATCAAATTCTTGCCTCACCTTACTTGTACACTAGATGAAAAGTCCAACCCATGGACATTCCTATACAATACATATCCAGGAAGAAAATATGGAGAGGCAGCATTGATTCCTTACCAGTTTTCATAGAGGGTGGAGAAGAAACGCTGCATTCTTTCCAAGATGGTTTTAAAGACAGGAGAGTCATTGAGTTCCAAGAGAGGTTGAGGTAATCCTAAAGGGAAATACGGGTCAGGAACATGATGCTTCACACTGTCAGGAGTCTCAACTGGCCAACACTCTACAGCAGGCAGATGTTGTTCAGGGGTGAAGGCGCGTGCATGGTGCTGTACTGCAAAGCAGTTGGCTATATGATTTGTTGCACTCTTTTGGTAGGAGAAGGTGAAAGCTACTTAAGGACCCAGGACTTTAGACCCAGGTACTCTTTTACCTGCTTTTTAAAAATTCTTTCCCCAGATGGAACTTGTACCAAAAAAAGTGACAACTCAAAAGTATTTTTCCATAAAGCTCTGGGGATGCCCCCACAATTAATTTATGAAACCCCTTTTTTTAAGCAAAGTCTTACACAAAAGACTAAGATGTGTCGCAGCTCAAAATGAAACCCACTTACCTTAGTATTAAAAACTGCCTTAAAAGATCTATACTTTTAAGTGTAATCAGAGGTTTTACATTTTGAGTCTTATAGTCAGAAGCTATCTGAGGGAGCTATTTGTCCATTTTAGTATTTCTGGTTGGCCACTTATTTCTATAGCAGGAGTTCCTGACTTAACTTGAATAATGGGATGGGGGTGTGTGGTAAGCAACACCTACTTTTTGTATTAATAGCAATACACTTCTTGGAAGTTCTATTTTTACTGGTGTCTGCAACATAACCCTTAAATGGAATGGTGTCAAAGGAAAAGATTCAGGACTATCTAGGCCGAAACAGATAGACATGAGCTCTGGAAAGGCAAATTAACATCCTTCCTTTGGCTAACTTCACAGCTGAGGAATGCCCACTGGATTGCTTGACCACAGCCAGGCTCAGACACAGGTTATAGCTGAGGACAAAGACAAACTATGGGGGCTGTGATGGTGAGCCAGCCTGAAGCTTCTGAGATGGGTAAAAGGTTTAGACAACTGATGCCTCTGGCTCTAACTTCATCCCACATTCCCAGACTTGCTCCCTGTGCTCCAGCCACATGATTCAACCATCTCTATGTCCTGGACATACGAAGGCCTTTCCCTCTTGCCTCAGATCTTGTACCTGACATTCTGTTTGTCCAGAATGCCCAGCATTTCCTCATGCCCCTAACCTAGCTAATTCCTACTCATCCTTCAAGTCCCCATTGGGAGTCAGCCTTCTGACTTCCCTCCGAGACTGGGTTAGGTCTCCCACTAAACACTCAAAGCACTGCCACTTTCCTTCACAGCAAATACCGCAATTATGACTGCACAGTTATTTTCATGCTTATTTTCAATGGGAAAATGAATTAAAGCAGTGTCCTAATCAAGGCCACAATTGGGAGGCCAGGCGTGCTGACTCATGCCTATAATCCCGGCACTTTGGGAGGCCAAGGCAGGCAGATCACTTGAGGTCACGAGTTCGAGACCAGCTGGCCAACATGGTGAAACCCTGTCTCTAATAAAAATACAAAAAATTAGCCGGGTGTGGTGGTGCATGGCTGTAGTCCCAGCAGGCTGAGGTGGGAGAATCACTTGAACCTGGGAGGCAGAGGTTGCAGTGAGCCGAGATTGCACCACTGTACACCAGCCTGGGTGACAAAGTGAGACTCTCTCAAAACAAAACAAAACAAAACAAAAAAGGTAACAATTGGGAAATTGCTTAAAATCTATTCCTTTAAAAACTTGATATCTATCTATCTATCTGTCTATACACACACACACACACAAAAGGCAGGAAAGTATACAAATACCCTTCAGGTTAAAGGCCATGATTTATTTATAATCGAATGGCTGTAACACCCACCACAACCTACTGGCTAAATTGAAGAAGGGGTTAACAGGAAATAAATAAATTGCTTCTGATCTTCTCTGTATCATAAGGTAAGTAAATATATTTGTTCATATAGAGTTTATAGGAACTCCACAAATGCATTTCTGAACAAATAGATGGTGAAGGTAGTGCAAAACAAGGAGGAAGAAGCACAAGATAGGCAGAAGCTGCTCAAGCAACGCATAAGAATGCCTGTAATCCTAGTGCTTTGAAAGGCCATGGTGGGAGAACTGCTTGAGGATAAGAGTTCGAGACCAGCCTGGGCAACATAGTAAGACCCTGTCTTACTATTTTAAAGTTCGTCTGGTGTTGTGATCCACCTGTAGTCCAACTACTCAGGAGGCTGAGGCAGGAAGACTGCTTGAGCCCAAGAGTTTGAGCCTACAGTGAGTTATGGTTGCACCAGTGCACTCTAGCCTGGGTGACAGAGACTATGACTCTCAAAAAACGACAACAAAAAAAGGGGACATCCATTAGGGATAAGATGAACCTAGGAGAAAAAATGTTACATTTCTTACCTAATATAGCAGATTTTTCCGCGTCAAGCATATCCAGAGCCTTGGTGAAAGGCTCTGCCATTTTGGCTAGCATTTCTGGTGCATATAATGTATTGTGGGTTCTGAAAGAAACAAGAATGCTATTGAGTTTTTCCATCTGATGCAGAAGGAAACAGTGGGCTTTGCTTGTAATTCAGTGATACTACAGTTCCACACAGACACATCTGCCCATGAACTCCTGGCAGGGGAAAGAAAACAAGGTATAAATATCTTAATGCTCGGTGCAGGAGGGACTGGACTTGCACAGATAATTAGTATACAATACCTAAGATGAATTAACATGAGAACCAAACCCCAAGACAACAGGACAGTATCAGAGTCCAAAGCTAGAAAGCAAAATTCTTTTAAATCTGAAGTGGTCCCAGTTTTTTGACCACCAGTGATATGGAATGAAATGTGTGCAACATTGTGGATTTACAGGTAGGAACACAGAGGAGGTGGTAATTTGCCCCATTTTTCAATGTTTTGTCTTAATTCCAAGAGCATGGACCTTGCAACAGCTGTTTGGACCTGACAGAGGAACGCAATTCCCAACACATGCTGTCTCCCACCAAAATGACCTACCTGAGCAATTATGGGCATTGGGTAAGGAGCAATGACTGTGAACTTGATACACCTGCTGTCCACAGCACTCTTACCTACTCACAGAAATGGCCCCACTGAACAAACTGATGGCTACACGTTTAAGATGCAAACTAAAAACATCTTTTAGACCATGTTTCAGTCTTCATAGTTTGTTCTTTTTGTTCTTAAGAAGTCATTCTAGGCCAGGCTTAGTGGTTCATGCCTGTGATCCCAGCACTTTGGGAGGCCGAGGCCAGTGAATTACCTGAGGCCAGGAGTTCAAGACCAGGCTGGCCAACATAGTGAAACCCCATCTCTACTAAAAATATAAAAATTAGACGGGTGTGGTGGTGCATGCGTGTAATCCCAGCTACTTGGGAGGCTGAGGCAGGAAAATTGCTTGAACCCAGGAGGACTGCTTGAACCCAGGAGGCAGAGTTTGCAGTCAGCCAAGATCATGCCACTGCACTCCAGCCTGGGCAACTGAGTGAGACTCCATCTCAAAACAACAACAACAAAAAAACCCCCCAAAACAGAAGTCTGTGGCTGGGTGCAGTGGCTCACACTTGTAATCCCAGCAATTTGGGAGGCCGAGGTGGGTGGATCATCTGAGGTCAGGAGTTCGGGACCAGCCTGGCCAACATGGTGAAACCCAGTCTCTACTAAAAATATAAAAATTAGCCAGGTGTGGTGGTGGGTGCCAGGAGTGGTGGCTACAGGTTTAAGATGCAAAATGAAAACCTCTTTTAGACCATGTTTAAGCCTCCATAGCTTGTTCTTTTTGTTCTTGCTTAAGAAGTCATTCTAGAGGCCGGGCGCGGTGGATCACGAGGTCAGGAGATGGAGATCATGCTGGCTAACATGGTGAAACCCCGTCTATACTAAAAATACAAAAGCAAAATTAGCCGGACATGGTGGCAGGCGCCTGTAGTGCCAGCTACTCGGGAGGCTGAGGTGGGAAAATGGCGTAAACCCAGGAGGCGGAGCTTGCAGTGAGCTGAGATCACACCACTGCACTTCAGCCTGGGCGACAGAGCAGTCTCAAAAAAAAAAAAAAAAAAAAAAAAAAAAAAGGAAGTCATTCTAGGCTGGGCGCAGTGGCTCACGCCTGTAATCCTAGCACTTTGAGAGGCTGAGGCTGGCAAATCACCTGAGGCCAGGAGATCAAGACCAGCCTGGCCAACATGGTAAAACCCCGACTCTACTAAAAATATAAAAATTACATGAATGTGGTGGTGTTTGCCTATAATCCCAGCTACTCCGGAGGCTGAGGCAAGAGAATCACTTGAACCCAGGTGAGCCAAGATCGTGCCACTGTGCTCCAGCCTGGGTGACAGAGCGAGACTCCCTCTCAAAAAAAAAAAGTCATTCGCTACCCTGGCCAGGCACAGTGGCCCATGCCTGTAATCCCAGCACTTTGAGAGGCCAAGGCAGATGGATCACCTGAGATCAGGAGTTTGAGATCAGCCTGGCCAACATGGTGAAACCCCGTCTCTACTAAAAATATAAAAATTAGCCGGGCGTGGTGGTGCATGCCTATAACCCCAGCTACTTGGGAGGTCAAGGCATAAGAATCACTTGAACCCAGGAGGCAGAGATTGTCGTGAGCTGAGATTATGCCACTGCACTCCAGCCTGGGCAAGACAGTGAGACTCCATCTGGGGGGGAAAAAAAAGTCATTCACTAACCTCATGCCGTAAATATGGTCTAGAAGTTTTACTTTGGCCAGATGCAGTGGCTCATGCCTGTAATCCCAGCACTTTGGGATGCCAAGGTGGGTGGATCACGAGGTCAGGCCCTGGCCAACATGGTGAAACCCTATTTCTACTTAAAATACATAAATTAGCTAGGCATGGTGGCACATGCCTGTAAATCCCAGCTACTCAGGAGGCTGAAGCAGGAGAATCGCTTGAACCCAGGAGGCAGAGGTTGCAGTGAGCCAAGGTCACGCCACTGCACTCCAGCATGGGTGACAGAGCGAGACTCCATCTCAAAAAGAAGCTTTACTTTTTGGGTTTTAAAACACCTGAAAATTTTTTCTGTGTATGGTGACTGGTAGGAATCTAATTGTTTTTTCCCCTATAGAAAGCCAACTGTCACAGCATTGAATAATTTATTTTTGTTTTGTTTTTCGCTTTTTAAAGAGACAGGGTCTCACTCTATTGCCCAGGCTGGATTGCAGTGGTGTGATCATAGCTCACTGCAGCCTCAAACTCCTGGGCTCAAGTGGCCCTTCCACCTCAGGCTCCTGAGTAGCTGGGACTCTTAAGTGTGCACCACCACACCTGGCTAATTAAAATTTTTTTTTTTTTTTAAATAGAGAAAGGGTCTCTCTGTGTTGCCCATACTCGTCGCAAACTCCTGGCCCCAAGAGATCCTCCTGCCCTGGCCTCCTAAAGTGCTGAAATTATAGGCATGAGCCACTATTCCCAGCCATCCTTTTCTCACTAACTTTCATTACTTCTTCATAAATCAACCTGTAATACATACCTGGGAGTCTTTTAAAGGCACCTTTACTATTGTGTTGAACCCAACATCACCTCCAAAGGATTATCTGCTAAAAAAACTGAACTGGTATGAGGTCAGTTTTCTAGACTGGAGGTCACATTAGTATATGTTTTAAGCTTGGCCAGCAATACGGTGTCTGTCCTCAACAACTCAACTCTGCATTGAAGCGCAATAGCAGCCATAAACAGTAGGTAAATGAATGGCCATGGTGTGTTCCAATAAAAGTTTACTTACAAACATGTGGAGGCTTGCATTTGGTCCTCAGGCTGTAGACTGCCAACCCCTCCTCTAGACATATTCACATATAACAAAAACAAAGGAAAGTAGACTACAACAAACAATACTACAGAGATTCAATCATCAAAATTTCACCAGGGGAAACTCTGGAAATACAAGTCCACATTTTTCAACAAATAAATTGAAAAAGAGGGCCGGGCATAGTGGCTCACAGCTGTAATCCCAGCACTTCAGGAGGCTGAGGCAGGTGGATCAGTTGAGCTCAGGAGTTTGAGACCAGCCTGGGTAACATGACAAAACCCTGTATCTACTAAAAATACAAAAAATTAGCCGAGCGTGGTGGCACACACCTGTAATCCCAGCTACTCGAGAGGCTGAGGCAGGAGAATTGCTTGATTCCGGGAGGTGGAGGTTGCAGTGAGCTGAGATAGCACCAGTGCACTCTGGCATGGGTAACAGAGCGAGACTATCTCCAAAAGTACAGTGACATGATCTCAGCTCACTGCAATCTCCACCTGCTGGGTTCAAGTGATTCTCATGCCTCAGCCTCCCAAGTAGCTGAGACTATAGGTGTGCACCACCACACCTGGTTACTTTTTTTTTTTATTTTTAGTAGAGATGGGATTTTGTCATGTTGGCCAGGTTGGTCTCAAACTCTTAGCCTCAAGGATTCGCCTGCCTCAGCCTCCCAAATTGTTGAGATCACAAGTGTGAGGCACCATGCTAAGCCTAATTTAGTGACTAAGAGATATCTTAAATATATATAAACCTTGTGTGGATAAACAGAAAAAAGGAAAACATTTGGTGATATTTGAATACTGGTTGTATACTGGATATTGAATTACTGGTAGTATTTTGAAATTTAACAATGGAAATGTGGTTATATTAAAAGGCTTATTCCTAGCTCCATATTCCTTTTGATTTGGGATTTTTGTCTCTAGGTTTACAAGAGATTTAGGCCCATAATTTTCCTCTTTGGTACTGTCAATGTCTGGTTTTGGTATCAAAATAAATAAGCCTCATAAAATGAGTTATGGAGCACTACATTTTTCTATTATTGGGAATAGTTTGTCTAAGAGATAAATTATCTGCTCCTTGAAGGTCTGGGAGAACTCCTATATAAAATCATTTAGGCCTGGAGTTTCTTGGTCTAATTTAACTAACTACCAATATAATATGAAGTTTTTATCTCTTTAGGTTTTCTGTCTTTTTGAGTTAGAATAAGTTACATTTTCCCTGGAAATTATCCATTTTTAAATATTTTATTTTTACAAATAGAGATGGGGCCGGGTATGGTGGCTCACGCCTATAATCCCAACACTTTGGGAGGCCAAGGTTGGCGGATCACCTGAGATCAGGAGTTTGAGAATCAACCTGGCCAACATGATGAAATCCTGTCCCTACTGAAGATACAAAATTAGCTGGGCATGGTGGTGCACGCCTGTAATCCCAGTACTTTGAGAGGCCTAGGAGGGTGGATCACCTGAGGTCAGGAGTTTGAGACCAGGCTGGCCAACATGGTGAAACCCTGTCTCTACTGAAGATACAAAATTAGCCAGGCGTAGTGGTGCATGCCTGTAATCCCAGCTACTCAGGGGGCTGAGACAGGAGGATCACTTGAACCTGGGAGGTGGAGGTTGAAGCGAGCCGAGATCATGCCTTTGCATGCCAGCCTGGGCAACAAGAGTGAGACTCCGTTTCAAAAAAAATAAATTAAAAAATCAAGATGGGGTCTTGCTATGTTGCCCAGGCT